GGAAAGGGTAGCATGGCAACTGTCATTGTGTGATTTAATAGTGCATGATGGAAATCCAGGAAGAATGAATGTTTTTGCTATGTTTATTCCTCTCTGTGCTTAAGATTGGTGATTTCATGAAACAGAACATCATTTCATTTAAGAGAGCATTTCATTAAGATCTCTAATCTGTTTTTTAAGTCTTTGCAAAGGAAGCCAGTTACAAGACAGGGCTTGATTTGTTTAGATTGAAGGAGGATGTTTTCCCAAAATATACTACAGAAGTGCTGTAATATTATGAAATTAAAATGCCTTCCAGATTGAAGATGGGGACTCTCATCTCAGAACTGCCAGAAAGGCACAGTTAGGGATTGGCATGCACTCCTGCCTCCCACCCCCAAGCAAGGCCGGCAGCTGCTTAACCCAGGAGACCTAGAGCTGTGGCAGAAAACTTAGGCCAACAGATAAGGGAGCACAAAGAGGCTTTAGGAAGGAGGGAGAATTCAGGAAGCACCAGCAGCAACCAGGCCTGTTGGTAACTGACAGAAATAGTGGACACTTGCCTGATGAAGAGCGAGACCTCCCCTGCTGGAGCCTGTGTTAGCACTCCTGTTTGCTTATCTCATTTACTTCAAGCAGAAATCAGTCAATCTCATCACATGTGCATTTGCTGAAATGTAAGCTGTGAGAGGAAACTGGTTCTCCTGGTCAGGTGTCTGCTCGGCCCCATCTGACCACCTTTTGGTTCCCTAACTAGTAACCAGTAATACTTCCAAGCCACTTTCTCTTCAGAGACATTAAGGAACACTAAGATGGCCTGGCCTCTCTCTCTCTGAGGGCTGCTTTGACTGTTGACCTGCCTCCTAGTCCATCCCACATCAACGGTGTGTACACTACTGTCTAGTAACCATTAGCTTTATTACCTTGTAAACCAGGCTCCTCTGAAGAGACTTTGGCAAGATGGACATGAGGTAAAAATTTCATTCGGCAAAAAGTGCAATATGTGTGGTACTTTATTTTTGTTTATGTTCTTTCATTAATCCAGGGGTATTAGTCTATGCTTTGGGAAGATGCACTAGTTCTGCAATTTCCAGCTGGACAAATGTCTCTCTAGTATTTACATGAAGCTGACATACTGGTCCCTGTAAGGCAAACAGCACATGTGAACAGCCATGAAGAGGAGGCAGCCCATTTCTAAATTCCCAGTGAGCTACACTGGTCATCCCAGCTACCCCTTACCCCCTCTGTCCCCACTAGGTCTGCTCCCCTCCTGCCCCATGGGGGAACAACAGGAACAGGTGTGTCTCTGTACCAACAGGCCTCAGAATCCACTAAGTGGGAGACTCTGGCGCCTTACCAGGAGGACAAGACAGGACTGAAGATATGTTAGTGTTGACACAAGTCAAACTCCTCCCTTTCTTGTCAGACTTGGCCTCCTGAAGAGGAGAAAGTCAGGGGCCTTTTCTTCCTCAAAAATAAAGAACTCTTGAGTGTTCAATCATGTCTGGAGTCAGTGAGGTGGGCAGCAGGAGTTTGGGATCAGGACTGAAGTTGGCCCTTGCTTCTCGTGCTTTTTCCTGCCTCTGGCCCCCGAGTATTGGAGGGCTCTGCGCTCTTAGAAGGAAGGAGGGAGGGCGGGCCATGCTGTGGGAGCATCTATTGCCCGCTACATGCTCCCACCCCTCCAACTGAGTAACACCCCCAGCAGGAGGACTTAACAGGCAGCTGAGCTCTCCCACCTCTGCCCACTCCTTGGGTGTCATGAGTATCTAAAGGCAAGGCAACCGTGGTGATTAGACTTGGAGAGAATGGCATTTTCTCAGCTAGAGCGACCAGGTGATTAAGCAGAAAGAAAGGAAGGCAAAAAGCAGCTTCACATTCTTACTAGTCAAGGATCACAGGGGTGTGGCACTGGCACAGCCTCTGCTCAGGACACATGAGTACAGGACTCAGTGAGTATGGCTCCCTCTGCGGGCATCCCTCTGCGGGCATCCTCCAGCTTCCAGTCAAGCCCTGGAATCTTAAATGTATTGGGGCAACAGTGTTTCTGCTCTGGATTACGTTTAAAAAAAACCTTAAACAGCAGTTCCTTGTAAGCTCCCTACTGGCTGAAAGGACATACTCCGATTAACTTTCTCGTGTCCCTCCTCCTTCAGAGACAATACGTAGTGTCACTTGACAGCACTCATCCCAGGGACCAATCGCTGAGTCCCAGTGCCAGGGCTAACCTTGTTGCTTCTGTACCCCTAAACTGGGCTGCCTCTACTGCCTCCGCAGAAGCCAGCCGAGCCGCCTGACCTCTGTGTGCCTAGACAGCAAAGGTAAAAACTGAAGAACAGGTAGTGAGTTGGGGTCATGGTATAGGCAGGGATCTCTGAGCATTTTGTTGCTTTTAGCATTTTTTTTTTAATGCCAGAGTGCATGTGTTCACAGAATACAAAGAGAGAAGGAAAGAGAAAGCACCCCCCAGTAGGGGATGTCTGCTTTTCCTTTGGGCGCGCGTGCAAACACACACACACACACGACTAGCTTGTTTCTCAAGCCACTGGATCCAGGACTCAAACCACACCATTGGCCATCTGGGATCCAGCCACCTTAACCACCACGCCATGTGCTAGCCCACTTGTAGAAAATTTTAAAGAACTCATCTTCAGAGAGATGTGTGCTCAATGAGAGCAGTATCATGTTTCCACTTCTAAACTGAACAAAAACATCTTTAAAGTGTTTATGACCCAGCCAAGAGGTTTCATGGCCCAGGGAAGCAACTGTGACTACAGCCCTTTCCTGGCCAGGAAGGTGAAGGCTAAGGCCTGTCAAGATACCTTTTGGACCCGCAGCCTCTGATGCCCCAGTACCCTCTCACATATTTGTTACACCACTTTTTCCCAGTCTGAGTCTAGAAGACTGGTGCCACTCTTGTTGCACCACCGTCTTACATCCACATCTCTGGGCAGGTGTCAGCACTGGGAGACGCAGGCACTACTGCACAGATGGGAGAATGGGTACAGTGCCGCCCATGGGCTCAGCCAGTGAGTGCTCTGCTGATTCCTGCCCAGTGCTCAGCCTGCTGGTCCACAGGAGCAGTATCTATTAGCACATTAATTTTCTGCACACTTTCATAAGTAATCTCCTTTAATCCTCAACAATTTTGTGAAATTTGCTGGGAAAGACACCGTGTTTATTTTACATACCCGAGAAAACCAAAGCTCTCAAGTTTCACAGAGCTTGAGTGCAGGTGCCTGGACGAGCACTCAGGTTAACCAGCTTGGTTGAGTCTCTGGTCTGTCATTGTGTAAGAAGCCCTTTCTAGCCCCCTCCTCAGTAGCAAACAGCTGTGTAGATTACAAAGCTCCCATTTCGGTCAAGCAGCGGGAGAATGTGTGTTCTTGCAACCGTATTTGCCACTCAACAACTGCCTGGCCTTGGGAAAGAGGTGCCATGCAGGTGACAACTGGTGCTGTCCAGGTGGCCATACACTGAAGGAGGCTGAGGGAACCACAATACTCCACAGGTTCATCCTTCCTTTTTTTCTGTTTTTAATAATTTGCTACAGGGTATGTATACTCACCAGAGAGAGAAGGGGTGGCAGACAAAGTGTTGGGGGGGGGGGATACAGAAAACACCCTCCCAGGGTGATGATCAAACTGCAGTTCCTTTTGCTCCATTCTCCTCTTGGGATTCAGGACAGACCTGCACATGCACCCAATGTGTTTTTCAAACAACAGGGTCCAGGACTCAAACTCTGCACTTGGCCATATGGGAACCAGCTGCCTTAACCACCACACCACCTGCTGGCCCGGCCCTTCCTTTCCATGTCAACTACAATAATGAAGGCTTATGTCAAAGACGTCTAGTTTCTCAAGTTACACAATGGCAATTTCCTATAGAAGTATATGGTGGAAGGACACACCACCCCTTGATTGCCAGGGTGCTGAATTGCAGGGCATCAGCTTCACTACAGGTTTAGAGACCCGACCCCAGGAAAGGGGGCTGCTCAGAGAAGAATTGGGAGGTCAGCTTTGGTTCCAAGGAAGGGTGGGAAGTTTCTGTGCAGTTCAGTCCCATCCAGTAAAAACGCTTATTAGACACTTTAAGGATTAAAAAAAAATAAAACATGGATTATTGAATACTTATCTTTTCAGAGCCAAAGTGGGTGAGTAGGGGGAGTTTTAAAAATAGAAGTACAAAATAACATCCTGGAAAAATATGACCCCAGATGGAATGATGTTACATTAGCAAATACAAATATTTGGGACTTGCCACTGGCTGTGTGATGCCTATCTCTGTTCAAGATTTGCTCAGTTAAGGAAATTCAAGTGGTAATACTTTCCACTACTGATCATAAAAGACAGCCTTCACCAAAATCTCTGAAGGGGAAAGAAGCAGAGAGAAAAGGAGGTTTGCTTCTCTTTGGGGACTGCAATTTAAGAAATAAAAGTGATAGAGAAATTTGCACTTTGCAGAAAGGGCAAGATTATTTGCTTATTTCTTATGGGAGGAAGGTGGTCATTGCTGGATGTTTGGTCTGTGAAAGAGTTACTTTTGATAAATTGTAGGGTTCTCTTTTTTCTGTGTGTGTTTTTTTTTAATTACTAAGAAAAAAATTGGTGAGTTCAATAGCTTTGGTATTTCGAGTGCAAATCATAATAGCTCCAATGTGAAAAAAAAATCAAAGTGTAACCTGTCACTCAATGTTAGAAAATCACCTAAAATACAGTTTAATAAATGATCTTTGTACCAAATGGTAATTTAAATGGGGTAACTTTCTGCAAGGAAAATGTACTGTTTTTATGTTTCCAACCCTCTTGAATTAAAATAAAAACAACTTGTTTTCTAAGAGCCTGGGTGACATGAATGGCAGACTAATGGGACAAGGCCTTTACCTCATCAAGCCCTGGGTGGAATGTGGAAGTGTGGAAGGTGGCTGTTCTCTGAGCGCTGGAGCTCATTTCAGGCTGCAGGAAAGGACAGTGGATAATATGTTCTCATTGACGTCAGCAGGGTAAATAATACCTTGTTCTGAATCGCCTGAGTCCATGTTCGCCACTGCAGATTGCTGACAGAAGCACTGCTAACCGCAGCCTGCACCCAGACAGGGCCTGCTGGGCACTGCCTGGTGTAAGTGCCTTGATTGTTCAGGGTCTCTGGGCTAACCCCCATCCCAGGGCATCTGGGCAAGGGCCTTCTGCCACAGTGGGAGGAGGGGAGGCAGCCATGCAGGTCTCTATCTCGCTTCTGAGGACAGACAAGCTGGAGGGCAAGGGGGCAGTAGGGAGAAGGTGTTCAGGCTGCCAGGAAGGCCACCAGAAGACACTGCTACACAGTCACAATGTCACATCTTGTATGCCAAAGATCTCAGCATGGTTAGCACATGTGCGCGTGCACGCACACGCACACACACACACACACACAGACTCCTCATAGGGACAGGAACTCTTTAAGCCTTAATTCAGTGCTCTTGGGATGCTGAGCTGCCCTCATCCATTCCAGACTTGGAATGCCAGCCCTGAGTAAAAGGGCATTATTAATCCTGCTTGGCAGAAACTTCATCTAGATTCAGTTTCGCTCAACCCATTCCAATGGAGCCCATGCTATAGACCTTCCCAAACTGAAGCCACCATGGGGTATAGTGGGCAGAGCCCTCAAAACCTCTACGAGGCGCCACCAGCAGGCGTTCACTCCTGCCTAAATGTCTCTTAACCCTTGACCACCCAGGACTTCAGTTTCACTGAGTTCCAATTGTTTTGGTTTTTTAAATTTATTTATTTGCTATCTAGTGTGCACTCACTGGAAAGAGAGTAGGAGCGTGAGAAAGCACCAGAGGGGAGATAACCACGCTGCAATCCCTCCTCCACTTCAGGATTTTGGACATACACACATGCACCTGAAATGTTTTCAAGCCACTGGGTTCAGGACTTGAACCACAGTCAGCCCTGTGACATCCAGCCACCTTAACCAAATGCCACCTAGCTGTATTCTCAATTTTTTTTAATGACAGCATGAAATTTCAGCAACCATGTTTTGCAAACTTACCCCTTTCTCACCAAATTTCTTCACCCTTTTTATTCTGTGTTGCCAAAACAACCCAGTGCCCAGAGTGGCAAAAGTGACACATCCTTTTCAACAGAGAATACCCAGAACCTGTAGTCAGCCAGGCCAATGACCCCCATACTCTCAGGACACCCATTGGGTTTTTTGCCTTCATGGATTGAATGCTTCATGCAGGGTGGGAGGGAGATGAGACCAAGGAGCCCTGAGCTGTACTCAGGTCAGAACCAGCCAGCAGTGCCCATCACCATGCCAGGCAGGGTGTGAGCAGGGCCTGAGGTCCTGGTCATAACACTTATCTCCTTTCTGCCCCACTAGTTCTTAAACTAGTGGGGTCAGAGAGCCCTCTGACATGCTGAGGTGATCTTTCAACTCCCCAAAACAACCTATGGATGCAGACACACAACTTGGGACACAATTCTAGGGGAGGAGTTGGCTCCTTGGCCCAAGTTCTTCTAAAGGCCAAGGTTAAGAACCCTCGGCTTTGCCTCCACACATCTGGAGTTCTGATTCTCACATGACCCCTCCCTGCCAAGAGGCTCTAATTCTTCCTGGGTGCAAGTAAGAGGGAACCTCTCACTGCAGCCCACAGGCACTGTAGGAGGAAGCTTTGGGGTTTGTGCACTAAATCCTGGGTGTTACATGGCCAGTGGAAGTGTCACCTACACAGTTGCTCTTCTCCTTAGGACTGATGAGAACATGGCTCTGTCCTTTTCGTTTCAACCCCAGCCAGGGACTTAAGCCAAGAAGCTCCTGAGGCATGGACTATTGTGGACTATTGTGCCTGGACTATTCTGGGCAGTGTCCTTTAGGAGACAGATGTGGACCTTGACCAAAACAAAGAGGCTGAACCCTCCCTCAGGCTAGGAGCCTTCACTGGCCTGCCTCCTCCCAGTATGAAGCTATGACCACAAGCCGCTGAGGCCAGGGGCGGTCATGCTTGCCATGCATCTCCTGCCACTGGCCTTTCCAAGGAGGCTTCCTGCTGGGATGGCCCAAACTAGGGAGTGTTGGTGCTCCCTTTATACCTTTCTAGGGTTGTCTAGGGATGACTGACTCAGAGGTGGTCTGAAGCTAACAAAGCCAGCGTTGGAAGAGAAGCACACTCCCCCAGAGCTGACACACCCCCACCCCCACGAGCTGGCTGGGCAGAGTTCAGAAAGCTTGGGCCTAGAGAAAAACGGGGCACTAGGATCCAACCTCTCCAAGGGAGAATTGAGTCACTCTCCCTCTCAGGTAGGCTTCAGATGTTTCTGACTCATCTCCCCCCGTCTCTTCCCCAAAGACAAGAAATACTGAGGCTTATGATACCCAGAGGGCCAGACTGAGAACTCTGAGCCCAGGAAGGTTATTCACTGTTCATTACCACCCCAGGGCCACAGTGCGGTTGGCCATGAGGCCCAATGGGACTGGGGATCCGCCACCACTTAGAGAACCTTGAGTTCATAGCCCCACCAGTCACTTCAGTCTAGGACCTGTCAGAATCACCTTCTGGTCATTAGAAAAGCCCAACTGGTCTGCAGCCAAGTGAGGGCCAAGGCCAGGAGGATGGAAGGGGGCTGGGAGTCAATAGGAGAGCCAGTCAAGGAGTGAGGCCAGGGAGAACAGCTCAGCACCCCTCAGCCCAGAAGCAGCCAGCCTGGTCAGAAAGATTCTCCAGGCAGGGTGGAGCCCACCCTGCCTCTTCCAGGGATAGCCCAGAAGCAACAAGAAATCCCTGAACCAGATCCTCATCCCCCAGCAACACTCCCAGTCCTGCCACTCACCCAGGCAAACTGGGAGCACAGAACAACGGACTGAACTCCCAAGTCTACTGTAAGGCTGGACACAGCCTAGCATGACATTGCCCTCTCATGTGGAAGCCTAGCATGACATTGCCCTCTCACAAGGAAGCCTAGCATGACATTGCCCTCTCACGTGGAAGCCCCCAACCCTAGTGGCCTCCTCACAGGCTCTCACTCTTACCTGTCAGGCTTCAACTCGACTGCTTCAACGCTAGACAGACAATGGCTGCTTGGTGCCTGTGGAATCTCTCTTCAAACTTACGGGTGGTTGCCCTATTCTGAGCACCTATTCCAGGTTAAGAACTAGTAACTTTGCCTCAGGATTTCTGAATTTTCAAAGATGAATTGTAGACAGTACCAGCCACAGGAACCACCAACACAACATCCTAGGAATCTATGTCCCATCTCTAATGACCTTTTCATCTGCAACTTTTTGGCCAAGCTCTTGAGTGGAGGGATTGGAGGCCTGAGAGAATTTCTGTGCAGACAGTGGCTTTGTCCCCAAGTACCCACAGTGGAGAGGGCACCGAGAGGAAGCCAGAGTTCCACTGGAGCAGAGTCCTGACCTCTCACAGGACTTAACGGATTCATACCCTCAACTGGATGGCCACTGGAAAGGTCCGATGAAGCCCGCTGGACATTGATTTGTTAGCAGTTCTCAATTAGCCTTGAGTTAGGCCTCCTGTAGTCTTTTTAAGCAAGGGAACTAATCCTCTGGCCAAGAGGTTGGGCCCTGGAGGAGCTCCTGTCAGGCATCCACAGCTGAGCTCCTCAGCATTGCCCTTGAGACCCTCTGGGCAGCACCTGTGTCCCCATATCTTGTTCTCCCAGGATATGTGGATGGGCAGCCCCTCCCCAACCCTGAAGCCAGCTCTAGTATGAGCCCAGGTTCCTGAGCTACAGAACTACCCCCACCTTGAATAACCTGAAGCAGTCTAGTTCAGCGGCAAGTGCTGGTTTAGATCCACAAAGAAACAGGTGCCAGAAAGCACAGGCTGGGGCCCAAGGGACTTTCTTGAGTTTAGGGAAAGTGAGGGAAACAGGAAAAACTAGAAGCAGAGCAAGAGTAAGGGGAAGGGGTACAGGGAGGTCTAGCTGAGATTTGGTGTACGGCAGTAAGGCTGGGTCAGGACAGTCTGGACAAAGGGGAGCAAAGGAAGAAGGGGTGAATTCAGTAAATCAGTGTCTGCGACCATGATTTATAGATGCATCCCTTGATTTTTGTCTCTAAACCTGGGGCTCAGCGTGGAGATTGAGTGTCCCTCACAGCTGCTCCTTCCTGCAATAACAAGACTGACATCACTGTTGTCAGGAAAATGGTGTTTTGATTAAAATCATGTGACAGCTACTTGGTGAGTCAATAAACAAATTCACTGTTAACCCTCACCTGACAGTGGCTGATAGTGGCTCCCCCAGATCCACCTGGTCTGTGATGAGGAGAAAGGGCTGAGCTGCCCCAGGTGGGCAGGCAGGGTGGGGGGAGGGCATGGAAGGTGGCCCATGCTGCTCTCTGGCAGGTCTTGCAGGGGGCATGTACCACATTGAGCACACAGTGAGGAACCAAGGACCCTTCACCTTGAGAAACTAGCTTACCGCTTAGCCTAAGTGGCAGGCCTAGCCCTGGCACATCAATGGCTCCCTTGAACCCTGAGAGGGTCAGGAACAGAGCATGTAGAGAGCTTGGTGAGTTTGCCCTGCACCTCAGGCTATGAGGGGTTAAGAGCCATTTCTGGTTTGCAATTGGATGACTTCCTGGATCCCTCACTTGGCTGCTGGCCCCTGACACACAGGGCTCTGCATGGCAACAGCCAGTTCCCTTTCCTTCTTGGCCCCAGGTCATTTTCCTTAAGAGAAACAAATACAGGGACAGGGGATTTTTCTGGGTTAAATGAACTGCAGCTTCCAAGGCCCAGCACCACTGGGCCTCTGTTCCTGGAAAACAGACTCCCAAGTAGACATGACTGAACTGGGGGAGGTTCAAGACCACCTACCGGCCAGGGCTGCTGTGAGGACTGAGATTTGGTCAAGTGCTTGACACAGCGTTGCAGTCAACAGGGCTTGAGGAATGGCAGCTCCTGCCTTTCTTCAATTTGTGAAAGGCCCAGCTCAGGCTGTTTTCAGAGCTGAGCAAATCGGTTTTGGGGGCTGCCCCGTGATAACACTCAACTCAGGTATGGCCCTAAATTTGTAGAAAAATGTCAACTCCTTTCTTCCCAAAGACATTTGTAAGTTAGGCCTAAGACACATGTAACTATTATACCTGCTCCTCAGTAAAGGTCTCTTCCCTGAGGCCAAGTACTGTGAGAGGCACATAAGGAGGCAAAGGCTGGCCAGCTGAGGCGTCTGTCCAGCTGTCACTGGATATCCTCCAACATATAGCCCACACTCCCTGGCTGCAGTGCTGGGCCTGGCCTGGACAGCAGGAAAGGCCTTCCCATGGCCTTGGCTTACATAAAATGAAAAGCCACAGAGATTTCAGAGGCAAGCTTTTTGACATAAGAAATGCACCAAGCAAACTCACTGGGGTGGGTGTAAGAGCGCCAAATGCTCCCCATCAACTAGGTGCAGCCTGACATCATGAGGTGCCCAGCCCCTCTGCCCCTTCCTAGGCATGTGCAAAGTCATAAATCTCCCTATCAATGGTTCAGAGCAATGCAACTTTGCTGAACAAAATTTTGCACATCTTCTCCACAGAGTGAGGTTTCCAAGACATTCTGACCATTACACAGAAAATGCAGCAAAAACAATTTTCACCTTGAATGGAAATGATCACCTGAAAGCATCTGTAGCAAAGAACTATCTTTTTAAAGGAAAATGGGAACAGTCCCATGTCATGGGCAGGTGAGGGAAGGACAGGAGACAAAAGACTTCCAACCATAGATGTGACAGACTTCAAGACTCAGAGGCACCTTCATAAAATATTCCCAGGACAAGGGAAGTACTGGGTCTTCGGAAGTCATGATGCATTTTTGCATTAAAAAAAAAAAAAAAGAAAGAAAAATATGTCATGACTTTTCAATGACCCAACACAACAGGCCAGCAGGCTTAAAAACTTCTCCTGGTCCTCAGTACGAGACTGCCTCCTCAGGAACAGAGTTCAGAGGTATTGCCTCTCTCCTGCTGCAACTCCTAGTAGCACCAGGCCTCACTGGCTGCCCTTATCACTGAAAAGGCAGGACACTGGCCCCAGGCTCCTGGGGCACTTACCTTCCCAGTATCCTCTCCATGCACTCTGGGTCTCAGGCATTGGTTCTTGTCAGCCTCAGGGGCACTGGGCTCTTCACTGTCTTTCCCAGGGAAATCTAGGTTCCTCAGCCTTTGTGTCACGGCTAGAAACACAGAAGCGGTGCCATAACTATCTCCACCCAGGGCATGTCCTCCGAAGCCCATCTGCGCTCCTTGCTAGAACATCCACTGTTGTTCCAGCTAGCAGTAGTAAAGCCCAGCAATGTACAAGGCTGTGGGTCCCATGAACAGAGGAAGCCTATTCACCCTAGAACCTTACTTAAGGTGCCTTTCTCTCAGGAGCCTGGAAGTACCTCTTTGCTGGGCATTGTGGTGCCTGGCTGGGTGTCCCCCACAATTCAGTCATTGACAAGCTAGAGCCCATTCTCAGAGAAAAGATGTAGCACTTTCAGAACTGATTATATCTGCTTAAGAGAGCAACTCTGGAGAAAGGAATGACTTGGCCTTTCTATCCAATGAGTAATTAAACTCTCAGTCCTTCAGAAGATTTCCATCTCAACTGAACATTATGTAATTTTCTGGAAACAGCAGGCTCATGGAAGCAAACAGGGAATCGTGAGACTATTCTAGGTACAGAAAAGGACTGGAAACATGTAAGGGAATAGGCGAGCAACAAGGAACAGGATGGAAATGGAAATACTAGGGAACCAAAGGGAAGCAGTTACATAGCATCACCTCATCTGTTAAGCCAGAACAAGAGGTAGCAGAGCCTTTTCCCTCTGCAGTTTCATATTCCAAGCAATAGAGAAACTAGGGACCCATGCTTAAGAGTGTCAAAAGAAGACATGCCATCCAATGTGATTTCTACAGGAAAGTCCCAGACTTTCAGTTCAGCGACAACTCAGCTACTAAAAAAGGAACAAAACTACAAAAAGAAAGCACTGACACAGCTTAACCACTAGGTCAGGAGTGACAGTTTGTTTCCCCTGGAGGTCTGTGCAAGCATCTCAGATGGTTGGACAAGACAGCTTCAAGGTCAGGCTGATGGCTCAGTTCAGTCAGGATGTGATATCCGGCAAAGACCTCCAGGCCCTGCATCATGCAGCCAGGCCATGCCATTTCCATGTGCTGAGTAAGGGCTGCCTGTTCCTTCAACAAGGTCTCATTAGAAACCACACATTAATCTATTAATTCTTGGAAAACAAGACACATCTTCAGATTTATATCTTCTTGGCAGCATAGATGAAAAAACAGCTGGTCTTATAAACCATAGGTAAATCAAGTAAATCTCACACAAATTATAGAAATACTAAGGTGAATTCCACTGATGGGACTACTGTATCGGCACAGGTTGTATGTGTGTCTGCTTCACTTTTTTCACTTTCCTAATTACCCAAAGCACCAATATCAACTCCCTAGGATAACAAGCAGCAGCAATCTAAGCTCAAGGCAATAGGACAAACTCAAATAGAACCGTTAACTACATGGGACTGGAGAAAGGCCACATAAAGCTTGTGTCTTAGCAGAAAGTCTTTAATTTTATCAAAAGGAAAATGAGATACAATCTGGTACTTTAGATGACTCATTCCACACATGTAATATGACAAAGACCACAGTTTAGAAATTCATCCAGTGAACACATTTTTATTGAGCACCTACTATGTAAACTAGACACTGGTCCCAGTGCTGGTGATACTCCAGGAGACAAAACAGATAAAAATTCCTGCCCATGCAGAGCTCCTAGAACTTATATTCTAGTAAAATCAAGAAAGGAAAACTAATCCTGGGAAAAAAAA